GGCCCAGAAGACCGGTTTAGCTTTATGTATATAATATCCCATATCAGAATCGCCTACTCGTATGGAGGTTCACCTTCAATAACTCTTCGTAACAAGAAGGTGAACATACACGAGCAACTCATAAAATCCTACAACACATAGACAATACAATAACGAACAAGTCTATTCCAAACGAGCCTAAATCAACCGACGTCTCCCCTTTCGGTTCTAATGTCGATTAATTAGGTTAAATTGGGGATCAATCAACTAACCCTAGGATGAGATCAACTCGCATAGATAGAGCAATTATCAAACACGTAATCGAACGAACTGCAACAATTATCCCTTATCCCTAACTTATGGAATTAGCCACTCATCACAATATCAACACAAGCATTCACAATAAAAGAAGTCATCACATTCATGTATAAGATGAAAAGAAAAGCTTACGATTAATACCAAATCCAATGTCGATAAAACAACGAGCAAACCGAATCCAAAAGCTAGAAACGAGTTCTTCAATCTCAAAATCCAAACCAAGATGCAAAATAAAAATCAAAATGTGTTCTAAGGTGAAAAAGATGATAAAAACGAGTCTGAATACCCCAAAATAACGCCCCCAGTAGATCTCATAACCTTCCCCATTTCAAATTCCATGAAATCCGCGATGGCCTTAAAACAGACCTTAGCGGCGCTAAGGGGTTAGCGCTGCTAAGGCAGGTTAGCTGCCCGCGTCTGTCCGAGAGAAACTTCAAAGCGGCGCTAATACTGGGGCCTTAGCGGCGCTAAGGTCCCGTTGGTCCAAAATCTTCCCCTTTTTTCTACAGCTCGCGTGCTTGGCTACGTCGCTCGGGTACTGCCCGAGCTGGAAACTTCATTCTCGCATGTCTGAGACCCGCAAAATGCTGCTCGAATCATCCACTTCTCATCATGTTTGGACACTCGCCAGCCTGATCATCCTACAACCTGAAATTGCACCACCGGAAAAACACGAAAAGCAGAGAAAATATAAAAGAAAACACAGAACAAACCTAAACACATCAAAATAACAATAAAACGCAAGAAATGACAAAAGAGGCCGGAAATACCTAAGAAAAGACCTAAAACGAGGGAAACGACACACAAAATATCAAAGAAAATAGTAACAAAAACGGGACAAACAACTCCCCCACACTAAGACCTTTGTTCGTCCCGAACAAAGAAAAGAAAAGAAAAGAAAACAAAAGAAAACAAATAAACGAGCAAGGACAATGGTTCAAGCAAGACCAATCTCAAACCAATCAATCAAGTCACGAAGAATTCAAATGATCACGAGAACACACATCAACCATGAACTCAGTTATTTCGAATGACAAAGACTCTCGAGATCGAAAATATATCATATGCCTCACTCAGTTTCATTTGCAAATATAAAGGAGGTGCACTCAAGTTGGTTATCAATCAATCATTCATAGATTTGTCAATCGTCTAACTTCTACTCTAAAACAATCAAAGACGTGAAACGATGAATCAAGAGGACTTCTCGAGTTGTAATGTAAGCTCTTTGGATCGGTAGGATACATATAGGCTAAGTGGCTAGATAAAAACAAATTCAACCCAATTCCATCACCCAACCGTGATCGTGAACACCTCCGGTTGTCAATCACCAACCGGTTCCTTCCTACGAACTCCAAAATCAACTACTTCCCAAGCAATTCCTTTTATTATTATTATTTTTTTTTATTTATTTTTTTTGAATGAAAAACCTTTTGGACATCTTTGTCTAGGTTTAACCTTCGGGTTTTCTGTCCGAGTCTCCTAGACCGGTTTCCCGTACTCATTGCTCGGTCCCACTAATGATAGTGGTCCAACACTTGGAGTATAATCCATTAGGTTTCCATTCATTTTTTTTTTTTTTATTTACACAACTATTTACAACTCAACAATCGTCACCTCCAATTCATTCAATTCATCAATCCTCAACTTCATTCGGGGTTATCAAGGAAAGTATCAACAAGGCTCAAAAGGGGTAATGAGTGAGTATTATTTTCGGAATGAAAAAGAAAAGAGAAAGCAAAAACAAGGAACGCCTCAATCATTTTCACGTCTCACAAATTCAATCAATTTATTTCGAAGTAGACTCGAGGCAAATCCTAGATGAATAATTTTCAAACCAACATCTCTCAAGAAACAAGTATGGCTCAAGCCTCACAAGGTAGATAATGCCATTCAAACCAACCAAGCAAAATAGTCAAAATATGCCACTCGTTCTCAATATCACAACTCCTTAACTTAATCAATCGATTGTCAACTAGTCTTACAATACACCAAAGTCCAAGCTCAGAAAGACATAACAAATAATCCTAAAAATAAAAAGACTAAACCGGCCCAAAATGCAAGAGAAAAGAAATAAAAAGAAAACAACCTAAGACAAGAACTAGACCTGGTCCACCACATAGTCACGTAAGCACGTAAATTCCCCCTACACTTAAAACCGGACAATGTCCCCATTGTCAATTCTCGGTGAAGGAGAGTAAACCATATAATAAACTCGACTCGAAATAAAAGAAGCTATACAAAAATAAAAGAAAAAGAGAAAGAGAAAGAAAAGCTTACAAAGAGAGAGATATTGTTTGCGGGAAAAGAGATGAATGTTTTGAGAAAGATAAAGAATGAATATGAAAAGACGTAGTGTAACTACTAGTTAGATGTTGGTAATAATAGAAAAACATGTACGAAAGATCTAAAACGACATTTATTTAGTTAATTGCTGATAAAATTAAAATGACATTTAAAAAAAATAAGAGGTAGTATTATTTTATATCCAAACCTAAATCTAAAACATTGTTTTTTGCCAAATAGAATTACGAAGCATAGTTTGCCACGTATTTTACATATATAAGGGAATAGTGTGTTACATTACATCCCAAGCTCCAGCGACCATTACATCCCTGCGAGTCGGCGACCAATTTTCCAGTTCATCTCCTCCGGTCTCCTATGTTCGGCGGCTAACATCTCCGGTGAGTTTTTTCCTAGTTGTGGACCAATGAGAGAGTGGCTTTCTTTGAAGATATAGTTTGTAATTAATTCTGTCACTTGTTTTTGGTTTCTTTCGACTCTGAAGATCAGTTAGGGTTTTTCAAACTGTACTTAGGACATTAAATCTTATTTTTGCCACTTTGTTTCTTAACGTGTGATATTGGTGCACCAGTCGGCTGCTCTTGAAACTTCGAGTTGGTTTCAGTACTTGCTACACTTCGTATTGAACTGAACTTTTGTTTGATGGTTTTATGCGTTGAGCAAACTTGTTTTATCGACTTGAAGTCTTATCACTTATGCATCTATTTGCATCCTTCTTACTTTCCGTTATCCTTCGTGTACTGAAAATTGTAATGTTTTTCTATGTGAATGTCTTTTTAGCTTTGGGATTTGCAGTTCAATCTTATCAATCCCACATATTGTAATAGTGAGAAATGGATATCGATCCGAAAGCACCAGAAAGTGCTGCCTTGGTGGCGTCAGGGCGATACTGAAGTAAATACCTGAACCATGACAACCTCAATTGAATTTTTCTTACATTACATTTCATACTTATGTGATACTAATTGCTCGATTTTTTTTATTTTTTTTATTTTTCAAGTCTAAGACCAAAGATGCTGACAGCATTTTTGAGACAATGAGTCAACTGAATATTGGAGAGGCATCCTTTGGCTTCAAGAAGAAGCCAGTTATCGTAATCGTTGTGGGCATGGCAGGGAAACTAGTTTGTGCAAAAAATAACAATAAATCTCTGTTCCCTGTTATATACACATTTTAGACAACAAATTACTCTTTGAAAACTCGTTATACTATTATCAATTGTTCAGGAAGCGGAAAGACTACCTTTCTTCACCGGCTAGTTTGCCACACAATGGCATCAAATATCCGTGGTTATGTTATGAATCTCGATCCTGCTGTCACGACCCTTCCATACGAAACAAACATTGACATCAGGGACACGGTTCGATACAAGGATGTCATGAAGAAGTTCAATCTTGAACCAAATGGACGAATTTTGACTTCCCTTAACTTGTTCTCGACAAAATTTGATGAGGTATATGTCCAACCTGCTTATGCGATCTTTGTTAAAGCACCTGCATTTCTCTTCTGTAAGATTACGTCAGCTATGATTTGGAGTTGAAGACATATAATAGGAGTAGTGGTGTTGACTGGACAAACCAAACCGGCAGTTTGAAATTTGTAATTCTAACTAAGCAGGATTTGTTTGTTTCAATTATAAATATTTAGGTTGTACCAACTATTCTTGGTTGTTTTGTTTCCCACTCGCTTTCTATAATTTTCCTTAGTTTCTAATAGTTACTTGGTCTATATCCGATCCATGTTAGAGGCGTGCTTTGTTGCTCCCCTGTATTTAATATATATTGTTTTGGAATCTCTTCTGTTAAAAAAAAAAAAAATTAACCGCAGTGCATTGGCCTCGTGTGGTTATTTTAACTTCAGAGCAGTATCTTTTATCTTGTTTGAACCAAATAATACCTTTGTATCCGTTTGTGTGTGTGTGTGTGTAGA